TTAGGGGCAGAGGATTTGAACTAGGAGGGGTGATTTATTGGGGAGCGGATTTGTTCTTGGAGGAGCGGGAATTTATGCTGAGGGAGTAAGTGCGCTAATTAAATTTTTTTTGAGGGGGAGGTGATTTTTTGCTGACACATAATGCTCATACATCTCAGGGGGGGGGGGGGGGGGGGGGGTGCAGTTTGGCATGTTTGCCCTGGGCTCTACATGACCTTGACCCAGCTCTGCTTGGCCAGTTCTGAGCAAAGGAGGGGAGGACAAGGTCTGAGTTGTCCTTCTACTCTCTGAGTACCCAATTCAGATCTCCTCAGCACAGCACCCCCAGGGAAGCCAGCTTCCCCGTCTTCTTATCTCCATCCATCACCATCTACCTTCACTTTCATCAGCACCGCACTGAGATGAAGGTGTGTTCTCAGCATGCGTCCGCTCTTTTCTGCCCACAGCAGGATGCTATTGGCGGGAGGAGAGGGTGGGTCCTGGGGTGGGACTGTGTGTGTGAAGCTTCATTCTGACAGTGCAGTGTAAAGAGCTCTTTTGGACTAGACAATGGTGTGTGTGTCATGGTCAGGGGTCAGGGGTCAGTCTCGGAGACAAGTAGCTATAGCAGCAGAGAGGCACCCAACGACCAGCAGGATAAGTACATAAGGAGGCCATCCTGGTGGATGACACAGGCACACCCGAGGTGAGGGGTCCAAGCATTTACCGATGTTCACCAGAGTCCTGATGATGAAGATGGGTTTGCTGCACGTTGGTAATAGGTTGTAGTCCTCAGGATCACCCCACCAGGAGGTGAGCAAGCCAGGGTCCAGTAGAAGATACAACAGGTTGGGATCAGGATGGGATTGCTTTTGCGATCTGAGCCAGTACCCAGAACCACCTAAAGTGGATTTTATGCTTCCATAATAGTTGTGGTAAATAAGCATCTTTCTCCTTGAGACCAGATCTTGCTTCACTCCTCAAGAGATAATTGGTTTTGTCAAGTCACATTCCCATTTCCTAACATATTGTGAGAATTGGCATCAAAGGTTGAGCTTTAACAGCGCAAAGCCACTCGCTTCCTTCCTTTTAAGGGCCATTTTAGCCCAATTTTATTTAAAGGAAAGTTTCATAAATCCAAACATAAATGATTTCCCACGTAGGGGTATCCACCATCAATACAACCAAAACAAAGATTCAGCCTCCTGGCTCTCTCAAGTATACAGCTAGCAGCCCCTTGCTGCTCTGGCTCCCACCTCCCCTAGGTGGAGCCCTCCTGACTCCTGGGCAACAACCTCCTGTCTGCCGGGGGGAGCCTAGAGCCATGGTTTGGCCTCTACAAACAGGCCTGCACACACCTGTGCAAATAGTGTGCTGGGGGTTCTGAAAACACGGACCCAGGATTGGAGATTTCATCCCTCCCAAATCACTTTGAAATCTCCCGGCCCCAGATCCCAAATCGGCTTTACGAACCAATGAGGAAACTGACAAACCAGTTTCCTCTGCATTAAGAGAACTGCCTGGGGCCCCTGAACCCATATAGTTGAGAATCCTGGGTTATAACCTCGATTTAGACCATGGCAGCATACCACACTGCAGGGGCGGACTGACAACTCATGGGGCCCCCGGGCAATAGGGGATCATGGGGCCCCTTGTCCTTGCCCAAATTCAAAAAAGCCTATGAAAAAGGTACCGGGGAATCTCATGGGGCCCCCTACTGACCCCAGGCCCTTAGGCAGTGCCCGAGTTTCCAAATGGTCAGTCCGCCCCTGCCGCACTGCCACAATATGTGTAGGGGGACTGTGATGAACAACCATTTAGAGCCAAGTACAGAACTGAAATTATCTTGGGGACCCCGACACATAAAATTTAGGAGCATTTAGATTTCCTGGTGGGCCGGAAGATAGTGTTTAATCTATAGGTGTCCGTAGTACTTGATGGTCCTGATGGTATTCATCCCAGAGTTGTTAAAGAGCTTTGAGGTCTAGTTGTTGGACCATTAACAGATCTTTCTTATCAGTCTCTTCTAACAGGAGAAGTTCCCCTGGACTGGCATGTAAGCAGGTCCATAATGTATTTCTGCTGTTGTATTAATCGCACTGTGTGGCTATGTAGTTAGTTCAGCCTGCCTGAGATGGGATGCAGCTAACTGTGTCTCAGATCTTTCCTGGGTTTTCTTGGGTCCTGCTCCCTGGAGTGGATCTTTAAATACCAGGGTAGGGCTCGGGGCAAGGGTTTTATCCACTAGGGGAACCCTGAGGAGGGGTCTGCCGAGCGATGTAGTCCCGATGGAACATGAGGTCCCTGTTATTGGGTCACCAATATGGTATCTCTCCTGGAGCCAGGAAACCACCAGTTATGGACTTTCACTGGAGGACTTGTTACCTTTGGATAGGTATAAACCAGGGCAGACTGCATTAGGTAGTTACAATTGTAATTTGTTCATGTAAGCCGTGCCTTTGGACTGTACTACTGAATGCTCAGTAAAGGTTCAGCAACTGTTAAATGCCTGGACTGAAGTTCACCTAAAGGAGTGCATGGCTTAACAAAAGAACAGGGCTTGTAATACACACATGAGGATGAAGAGGAAGACCTAGAGGGCCACCAAGGAAGGGTTAACCAGAGATGGTGGGAAGTTGTGCTTAACATGCAGTTGCTATAGGTAACCAGGACTGGTGGGAATGCTATAGCAGCCAGCCAGCAGGAGGCATGGGTGGTGGATCCTCTGGTAGCAAGGGGGTCGGTGTTCTGACTCCATCCCTAGCCATCGGTGTTCTGCAGCATTCGGGACCGAACCTGTGGCACTGAGACCCCTATGGACCTAGCTGCAGACACAGGAGAATGAAGGAGCTAATTGTGCCTGCTGGAGATCCACGCTCAGAGCACTGTCGGATCTCTAATCTGCCACGGGAATGAGTTTGCAGGGTAGATGGGCTGGTGGAGCGGGACTCTGCAGTGTCCCCCTCAAAATGCTGCATTCAGGAAGACAATTGTACAGTGTCATGGGAGCAGAGGGTCTTACAGAAAGGAACCTCAAGTTTGATGTGTAGTAGTTGTGCAAGGTGAATGGCTCACTTTTAAATATGGGGGTGCTGCCTTAATGCTGATCTCTGAATGGCTGACCCCACGTGGTCCCGGGGATTAGCTAATTCCATTCTGCAGACTAAAACGTAAGGGGGACTCTGGAAACCCTGATTTAATGGGGAACACTGGGAACTCTGGTGACCACAGCTTCTCCCCTTACATCAGTGTCCCCAGTTCCCCCTTTAATTAGAGTTCCCAGAGCTCCTCTTACATCAGAGTCCACAGAGTTCCCCCTTACAGTGTAAAGGGAAACTCTGCGTAATCTGATATACACAAGAACTCTGGGCACTCTGATCTAACACTGATGTAAGGGGGGCTGTGTAAACCCTGATTTAAGGGGAGGCTCTAATGTAAAGAGGAATTCTGTGGACTCTGATCTAAGGCAGGGTCTGGGAACTCAAATTTGAGGGGGGGAATCTGTGGACTCTGATACAAAGAGTAACTCTTATGTAAGGGGATAGTAGAAAAGAAGGAGCGCCCGATGTCCAAAAGAATGCACTTTTGATGGCAGATTTGGAGGCATTTATTGAGAGTAACAACAAGTACATCAAGCCAACATGTTTTGGGAGAAAAGACTCCCTTCCTCAGGGCTATTAAATGGGAAAAATTCCCAGGTCGGTTATATACACGGCTCAAAAAAATTAAATGAAGACTTTTTAAATCAGAGTCTAGCATCAAGTCAATGAAACTCCTGGGATATGGATCTGGTCAGTTTAACTGTTAAATGCTGTTTTTCAGATCTCCGTTCCAATTGATCCTAAACCATGTCTTTTGGGAATTCTTGATGATTTTCAATGACCGGCTTGAGAAGTGTCCTTTTTCAGGCCCAGAGAGTTATACCACAGCAGGGGCGGACTGACAACTCATGGGGCCCCCAGGCAAAGGGGATCATGGGGCCCCTGTGTCTTTGCCCAAAGTCAAAAAAGCCTATGAAAAATGTACCAGGGGCATCTCATGGGGCCCCCTACTGACCCCGGGCCCTTGGGCAGTGCCCGAGTTTCCAAATGGTAAGTCCGCCCCTGTAGCACGGCATTGAAAATCCTTTGAGCTCCCCTCCCATAAGGAATGGGTACAATGCATGGGTGAAAATCTCAAGTTGGAGAAACGCATTTACCAGCACAGGGGATGCCCCGTAAATATGAACATCTTTGGGGCCCATGGCAGCACAGTCCAGGCTGGACCTGGTTATACACAGGCTACTCATTAGTTAAGGACTGTCCCTTTGGATGTAAATCTCAGATGAGCACTTACCTGCTTGGGTCAGCTGTTATGGTTGTTTTTGTGCTGTATGTCCAATTATTGAATTGCAAAACTTCTGCCTGATTGAGATGTGTCGTGTCTATCGTAGATTCACCGGCCACTTTAGTAGGTACACCTTGATAGTACCGGGTTGTACCCCCTTTTGCCTTCAGGACTGCCTTTATTCTTTCTGTCAGAGATTCAAAAACAAATTGTAGACGCCATTTCATGTTCTTAGCTGGCAGGAGTGGCACCCAGTGTAATCTTCTGCTGCTGTAGCCCATCTGCTTCAATGTTGGACATTTTGTGCATTCAGAGATGGTATTCTGCACTCATGAAGGCCACACCAAGTTTGGAGGTCTTTAGCTATTGGCTCTGCAGACAGTTGGTGACTTCTACGCACTGTGCGCTTCGGCATGCGCTGACCCCGCCCTGTCATGTGATGTGGCCTACCACTTGGTGGCTGAGTGGCTGTTGTTCCCAGTTGCTTCCACTTTGTTATAATCCCACTAAGAGTTGAGCGTGGAATATTTAGTAGCCAGGAAATGTCACGGATGGACTTATTGCCCAGGTGGCCACCTATCACGGGACCACGCTTGGAGTCACTGAGCTCCTGAGAGCGACCCATTCTTTCACCAATGTTTGTAGAAGCCGTCTGCATGCCTAGGGGCTTGATTGTATACACCTGTGTCCATGGAGGGGATTGGAGCACCGGGATCACATGATATGGAGGGGATTGGAACACCTGAATCACATGATATGGAGGGGATTGGAACACCTAAATCACATGATATGGAGGGGATTGGAACATCTGAATCACATGATATGGAGGGGATTGGAACACCTGAATCACATGATATGGAGGGGATTGGGACACCTGAATCACATGATATGGAAGGGATTGGAACACCTGAACCACATGATTGGGAGTGGATTGGAGCACCGGGATCACATGATATGGAGGGGATTGGAACACCTGAATCACATGATATGGAGGGGATTGGAACACCTAAATCACATGATATGGAGGGGATTGGAACATCTGAATCACATGATATGGAGGGGATTGAAACACCTGAATCACATGATATGGAGGGGATTGGAACATCTGAATCACATGATATGGAGGGGATTGGAACTCCTGAATCACATGATATGGAGGGGATTGGAACACCTGAATCACATGATATGGAGGGGATTGGAACACCTGAATCACATGATATGGAGGGGATTGGAACACCTGAATCACATGATATGGGAGGGGATTGGAACACCTGAATCACATGATTGGGGGCGGGGACAATACTTTTGGCAGTATAGTGTATGTTTCCTGTGGGTTGGGAGGGTAGCAGTGACCTCCAGGTCCCAACCAAGTCCAGGACAGATGTCCCGTCTCATCTATTGTAGTTCCATCAGCATTTCTAATCCATAAGGAGGTTACATTAACCACTAGCTGCCTGGAGCAATTTTGACTTTTTTTCACATACATGTTCAAAAATCTGCATTGTGTACAGAAATGACTTAGAACCCCCAAACATGATATATTTTCCAAAATCAGAGACCCTGGAGAACAAAATGGTGGCTGTTGCAATTTTTCAGGTTGCATGATATTTGTGCCGCCATTAATCAAACACAAATTTTCAGGAACAAAAAAAAATACACTTAAATGTGCACAAAAACATAATATGATATGCAGTTCTTTGGTAAAACATAAAAGCTGATGTTGTGTCGAGTAAACAGATAGTTACCTTCAAGATTACTGACCATCAAGATTTAAAATTGTGCTGTAAATGGCAACAAACTGCAATACCTAAAATTGCCCGTCGTTGGCGCTGTAAAAGCCTTTACTGGTTGTCATTTTAGTGTTGACAATGAATTTCGGCCCTAGAATTATTGCTTTCACTCTGACGTTGATGGCAATATCTCACACGTGTGGTGCGGTCAGGGGCGGACTGACAACTCATGGGGCCCCCGGGCAATAGGGGATCATGGGGCCCCTGTGTCCTTGCCCAAACTCCAAAAAGCCTATGAAAAAGGTACCAGGGGCATCTCATGGGCCCCCTACTGACCCTGGGCCCTCAGGCAGTGCCTGAGTTTCCAAATGGTCAGTCCGCCCCTGGGTGCGGTCACCATTTACATATGAATACAGAACCTTTGTGCACGGTTGCATTTGCGCATGAGCACGGGGGGATGGGGGTGGGAGCAATTTAAAATTTTGTATTAATATTTCTATTGATTTAAATTAATTTTGTTTACACTTTTTAATTTTTTTTTTTTCTATTTATTTCCATTTCCATTCTCACTACAGGGTGGAAAGAGGCGGAGCAAGTCTGGCTGGAAGAGAAAGTTACATCCTCCTCCTCCAAATGCAGGGCCTGTACAAGCACTTAATTGGTTGCTAGGACACTAGACAGCCCTAGCAACCAATAATTTTAACAGCGGCGGGAAGCAGGCGAAATTTCGGAATGTAAACTGCCCTGGAGACTACAGACGGAGCCAGACTCGTTTTTTTTTTTTTTACGGGCAGTTTGTCCCATTCACGTACATACTGTATACCAGGGGCGGACTGACCATTCAGAGACTCGGGCACTGCCCGAGGGCCCGGGGTCAGCAGGGGGCCCCATGAGATGCCCCTGGTACATTTCATAAGCTTTTTTTGGAGTGGTTTGAGTGTGGACGAGGACACAGGGACCCCATGATCCCCTACTGTCCAGGGGCCCCATGAGTTGTCAGTCCGCCCCTGCTGTATACGGACGGGGGAAAAAGGGTTGTTTGTTGCGAAACTGTCTAGAACAGGGGTGGGCAACTGTGTCCCTCCAGCTGTTGTAGAACTACAAGTCCCGTGAGGCATTGCAAAACTGACATTTACAAGCATGACTCCCAAAGGCAGAGGCATGATGGGACTTGTAGTTCACCAACAGCTGGAGGGCCACAGTTGCCCACCCCTGGTCTAGAAAATCACAGACGCTTGGCAACGCTGGCCTATGGGGGACCCTAGATGAGAAGGTCTGGGGCCACTCTGTGCAATACCTTCAGCACAGAGCAGGAAAGAATAAAAGAAAATAACCATTACGAGTGCTTTAAAAACATGAAGATTGTTTTTCTTTTTAATCTTTCTAAAAGTGGAAATCCATTGTGTAAAAATGCTGGAAAATGTGACTTTGTCATACTTATCACTTATTTCCTAAACAAAAGCTGTTTAGAAACTAACAGCCGATAAAGAGTCTCGAGTATCAATTGACTTTTTTTTTACATTAGATAAACAAACTTCGACCTTTCATCTTCAGCTCCGAAAGAAAAGAGCAGAACATAAATATTCAGAGATATAAGGAAACATCCTCGGAGGAGGAAATAGAAAATGGGAGAAATTGATCAATGGCATGTCATTGGAGCGTAGCGCGACGGCTGAATACCATGCCAAGGGGGGCTCTGGAGGATGAAGCATATCATAGGCCAGCCTCTGTCCACCAGGGTTGTGTGGAACTCGAAAGGTTTCTCCAGAGGTAGGTGGGGGTTCCTTCAACAATGAGCAATTTATGTCTCTTAGGTACCCATATGGAAGAAAAATATATTTGAAATTTATTTTAAAAATATTCTTCCCAAATATATTGACATATATTTGAAATGCTACAATTTTGGACATATTCAATATATGTAAAAATATATTTCAATAAATATATATGTATAGAAAAGGGATTGCAGTGTCGGGGCCAGATGTCAAGGTCCTACCTTTTCCCAGAAGTTATGTTACTCCATGTGCTGGCGTCCATCTTGGATTTCTGCTGAGTATGGTGGGAATCCTTTTATGCCTTCAGGTCTCTGTGGTCCATCCCCCAGAGGGGTGTGGCTGATGACATATAAGCCTGTGGCCCGCACATGCCCTTTGCACTTGTGTCTTGTGTCTTGGTGTTGCTATTACTCTGTTCTGACTCTCGTGACTCTCCTGGAATCTGACTCGGCTTGTGACTCGACTATTCTTTGTGTTCTCCTTTGATCTGACCCTCCGTTGCTGAACCCGGCTCGTGACCTGTGATTCTTGTGTGCTGTCCTGTACCGTTTTGTCCCGTTGTTGTCGACCCGGCCTGCCCGACTACTCTATTGTCTGTTTCCACCAGTTACACGCCATTGGCGGTGGCCATTACCGCAGCTGAGGTGTCTCGGGGGCCGCGACCTGGTTCCTGGCTGCGTAAAGTCCATCCCCACCATCAGGGGCTCTGGTGAAGGGCAGCCTGGGACTTAGACTCCGCGCCCTGAGGGACTTCGGTCTGTGGGTGGTGGTTGTCGTCAGCCAGTGTGTTACATTGTTATTAGGCCTGCCTGTCCGTTCCCCAGCTCCTGCCCTGACACCAGACTAGAGATGCAACTGGCTGTCAGATCGGGACTGTGCAGGGTTTACTTACCTACCTACATTCTTTGCTGGGAGCAGATAGGGTAAAAAGACACTGGCAGTCCTGATCCAGGAGAGCTGCGAAGCAGGAGGAGGAGCTGGAGAGAAATCACAGCCTGCACCTCCTCCCTGCTCTCTCCTCTCTAGATCTGGCTTGTCTCCTCTAGCACCAAGCTGTTGTTGAAACTGTTGTCACCACTCCTGTCAGCTTGTAGGTAGCAACTTTCCACCCAGAGCCCCCCACCTCATGTGATACAACTGCACCCAGTGCAGCCACTGCTTCTGCCCAGCTTCGTAGTTACCCATATGGAAGAAAATTATATTTGAAATATTTTTTAAAAATATTCTTCCCAAATATATTGACATATATTTAAAATACTACAGTTTGGGCCATATTCATATATTTCAAAATATATTTCAATATTTATTTCAATATATATATATATATATCCTAGATTGTAAGCTCCCAGGATCAGGCCCTCACCAATTTTACATACCAAGTCCCATGATGTGCCACCTTTATTGCTGGGTTGGAGCAAAAAAAAAGGAAGATTTGCATATGGCACACCTTATGTAGCACCCCCTTGTTAGGTGATAGGATGTGTAGAGTCAGGTTAGGTATAGCTGTTTCTCTGCTTACCAGAGCGGCTGTCAGATAAATTCAGTGCGGTGTTCTGCCTAACGGAGTGTAAACCTAGTCATGTCTGCTCATGCTGCTCCGGTGTTGTTGGCGTTTGTCCGAGTTCTGCACGCCTTCGGGAAGCTATGAGAACCTTCCAGAACATGCAAAGGGGCTAGGCCAATGACCAGTATGAATATGGATACAGCCCTGGCCAACTGCAACATGTTTTCCCTGTGCCTGTGTGGCTTTGCTCCAGTTTCCTCCCACACTCCAAAGACATGCTGCTGTCCTGCCAGAGAAGGAGCCTCCATTAACCATGGAGGACTGCACCCACCTTTAGGGAGCTCTGGAAGACCTGGATACTGCGGAACCCACGCTCCAGAGTCCGCCTGCCCACAGAGGAAAGGCCTAGGATTCCTGTTGTCATCCCATAGTGATCTTTGACGACATCATAAATAATACACATGCGCATCTTCATGCGCCTTCTGGTGAGTGCGCATTGCTTATTATTTCTATATATGCACTTTCACCGAGTCCAAGAAGATGTATGAATAATGAGCACTTCAATCACTTTATGAACTTTTATCAGCAATTGACATCTGATTACTATCTCATGTTCATTTAACTTTTATAGCACCGCACATCATTTTGTTTATATTTACTGCAGGTTTTTACTTGGTCACCTCGTGCTTGGCTGCTTTTTTACTCATATATATTTATATAGCATTGCGATTATTCATTTTCTTAGGCGCTCACATCTACCTACATTCTCTACATATATATATACAGTATCTCCCATAAGTGAGTCCACCCCTCCCCCGGACTGTATACAATGTGTATATGTATATATATATATATATTATATATAGAGTATCCCCCAGAAGTGAGTCCCCCCTCCCCCTCACATTTTTGTAAATATTTGATTCTCTCTTTTCATGTGACAACACTGAAGAAATGACACTTTGCTACAATGTGACGTAGTCAGTGTACAGTTTGTATAACATGGAAATTTGCTGTCCCCTCAAAATAACTCAACACTCCGCCATTCATGTCTAAACCGCTGGCAACAAAAGTGAGTCCCCCCCTAAGTGACAAGGTCCAAATTGGGCCCAAAGTGTCAATATTTTGTGTGGCCGCCATTATTTTTCAGCACTGCCTTAACCCTCTTGGGCATGGAGGTCACCAGAGCTTCACAGGGTGCCACTGGAGTCCTCTTCCACTCCTCCATGATGTCATCACGGAGCTGGTGGATG